CCCTAAATCCTCACTCCCACCAGAATCAGCCCCTAAATCCTCACTCCTACCAGAATCAGCCCCTAAATCCTCACTCCCATCAGAATCAGTCCCTAAATCTGAACTCTTTACAGAATCATCCACTCAATCCTCATACCCTCCAAAATATTCCCTCAATTTTCACACCCTTCATAATCAGCCCCTCAGTCCTCACTGACTCCACATTCATCATAGTAACCTTACAGCCATGGTAACCCCCCGTGATCCCCTCCCCATAATGTGCACCAAAGCTTAGCATCAGCTCCAGCACCACTCTAATTCTCCCTCTTGCCTTGAGCTGACCTCACCATTACTCACACCCTCATAACATTCCCCATTCAAATCCTAACCCTAGCCCATCATTCCTCGCTATGGCATTCACTTTATTTACACTAACAAGAATTTGTTCTTGCAGGTTTTCTTAATTGAGAACCTTCAATATTTAAATTTGACTGAATTGCAGTTTCTCACACACAGCTGAAGTTCGTACAGTTATTGTGGAACTGAATAATAAGCTTGCTAACCAAAAGGTCCTGATGTTTCCACAGGGGAAGAAAGAGGGAGAATGAGTGGGACGGGTTTGATGTTCACTGCCCCTCTACCATCTCTTTGGACTTTGCTGATTCTTCCACTGATGTGCCAGAAACCTAGTCCTATGCTAATACAAATAGGAGACACAGACTGGCAGGAAACACACAGGTTGTACAGCTTCCTTCTTAATGTTAAACGGCCCAACATTCAGAATATTAAAAACTGAGAGGGCCTTTTGCAGAATGCAAGATGGCACAGTAGGTTTTATCTGAGAAGATACAAGACTGAGGGTTGACAGAAGATTAGGAAATTAGTGCAGAAGTGAAGAGTTGCAGTGGAGACAGGGAGAACTGTGTGGTCAGAGACAAACAAACAAATGCATACAGATGCACACAAGACTGACATACACAAACAATGTAGCAGCCTTTTGGTTGCTAAGAGAGATTGCTAACTTGGTCAAACAACAAAGAATGCTGGGTACATTGGCCAAGTAGAACTGCGAAGTCACAAAATCCACACACCAGACACAGTAGCCAGATGCTAATGATATTTGCATAATGTAAAATGCAATAGTTATCCTGGACAGACATATTCCCCAATAACTTATCTACTAAACAAAGGAGCGCCCAGACAGAAAGGCACCAGGTCCTGCTACACAAAGAAACAAACAGTAGCAAGCCATGTAAATAATTGACAATGTTTCAAACTATTAAGTGTGTCTCCCTGATTGGCCAGAAAACCAGAAAGTTCCAGAAAACCATTCACAAAGGTATAAAAATAGGGTTTACCTGCAGACCAATCTCTCTTGGATCCTGTGAAGAGACCAGCATGGTCAAAGGCAGAGACATGCTGACCATTCGGAGAGAGAGAAGGAGAGAGAAAGCAACTTCACAGTCTCACAGAGACAGAGAGAATGTGGCTACGCAAATCTATAAGAAACTTGGGAAGCATTATCAACTTAAGGGGCTGAATAGGATTACAGGTAGTACTGTTTTGTCATAAAAGCTATTGTAACTTGTTTCCTAATAAGGTTGGGCCTGTTCTGCATTAGTACTGGCTTGTGTTTGTTGTGATTTGATCACTTTAGTATTGTGGGATGCCTGGGCAAATTCATTCGTAATAGTCTGGATGAATTGTCTAACTTGTTTTAAGGAGGAACTAGACAACAACAACACACACGCGCACACACACACAAAAGACTGAATGAAAAAAAACTGATACACACACGAGATAGGCACAAAAACACACACAGAAGACACACAGCTGACACACACATACACAAGATTAACACACATACAAGAGTGGCACACTCACTGGCAGGTACTGACACAGACATATCACAGACAGATACATTAACAGATACAGACACACACTGATATACTGATGAACACTGTATAAAATTTTAATCCCTCCTACAGGTCGAAGTCCCCACCTGCTTCAAGAAGACCACCACGATCCCTGTACCTAAGAAAGCACATTTGAAAGCTAAGAAAGCATAAGTGTGCCTTAATGACTATTGCCCAGTGGCTCTGACCTCAGTAATCATGAAGTGCTTTGAGGGGTTCTTCATGGCCCATGTCAATTCCAGTCTCCCAGCCTGCCTCGATCCCCTACAATTTGCCTACTGATGTAAAAGGTCCACAGAGGATGCCATATCCCTAGTCCTGCACTCATCCCTGAAACATTGGACATCAAAGACACCTACGTCGGACTCCTGCTCATTGATTACAGCTACACCTACAACACCATTATCCATGACCTTGGTTTTGGCACCTCCCTCTGCAACTGGATCCTCAGCTTTTTGCCTCATAGGCTGCAATCAGTGAAGATAGGTAATTACCCCTTCTCCAAAATAACACGCAACATTAGCGCTCACCAAGGATGTATTCTCAGCCCCTACTGTACTGTACTCCCTTTACAGCTACGACTGTGTGGCCAAATTCCAAATGAAGGCCATCTACAAGTTTGATGACAACACCACTGTAGCGGAATGGATATCTAACAACGATGAGTCAAACTACAGAAGGGAGATAGAGGGCTTGGTGACGTCGTGCAATGAAAACAATGTCTCTCAACGTCCGGCAGAACTAAAGAACTGATCATTGACTTCAGAAAGAAAGGAGAACACGCCCCCATCTACATCAATGGAGCTGAGTTTGAGAGATTGAACAGCATCAAGTTCCTGCCCCGATGACCTGTCCCAGACTTCCCACGTAGATGCAACAGTCAAGAAAGCACAACAACGCCTCTTCTTCCTCAGGCAGCTCAGGAAATTTGCCGTGTCCATAAGGTCACTCACTAACTTCTACAGATGCACCATTGAAAGCACACTGTCTGGGTACATAATGCCCTGGTATGGCAACTGCTCTGCCCAGGACTGTAAGAAACTACAGAAGGTTGTGTGCACAGCCCAGTCCACCACAGAAGCCAACATCCCATCCATGGACTGTATTTATATGGCTCACTGCTGCAGAAAGGCTGCCAACATCCTCAAAGACCCATCGTCCCTGATAATGACCTCCTACAGCCTCTTCCTTCAGGCAGAAGATACAGAAGCCTGAACACACACATGAACAGCTTCAGGAACAGCTTCTTCCTGGCCGTTATTAGACTAATGAATGGATGCTCTAGCCTCAAATAATGCTGATCTTGCTAACATTGATCTTGCCTAGCACACTCCCTGTGCAATGTAACCTGCATGTCTCTAAGTCTTTTTGATCTGTACATCCTTTGCTTACTATGACCTGCCTATATTACTCGTAAACAAACCTTCTCACTGTATTTCAGCACACATGACAATCAATCAATCTTCATGTGTTTCAAGAAGGATTCGGCTGATTCCTGGGATGAAGGTTTTTTATTGCTCAGTTGAGCAGATTGAGCCTGTAATTTATGGGAATTTAGAAGACTGAGATGTGATCTTATTGAAACACATAAGATTCTGAGGCGGACAGGCTTGATGCTGGGAAGATGTTTCCTTTTGGAGGAAACCAAACTAGCGAAAACAGATTCAAAAGGGTTTATCTCCCATTTAATACAGGGATGAGGAGAATTTCTTCTCTCAGAGTGTTGCTGGTGTTTGGAATGCTCCTCCAGAAAGTAGAATCACAACATTATTACTGTACAAAAGGAGGCCATCCAGCCCATCATGCCTGCACTAGCTTTATTATCCAGTGCCATTTTCCTGCCTTTCCCTCATATCCCTGCACACCATTACTATCCAAATAACCGTCCGATTCCCTCTTGAATACCTGAATTGAATCTACCGCCACCGCATTTCCAGGCAGTGCATTCCAAACCCTAACAACTTGCTGTGTGAGAAGCACTTAAGGCTGGCCTTCATTGAATATATTTGAGGCTGAGTTAGACAGAATTTTGATCGACAATCAGGTTGCCAACTCTGAGTGAAGATTTCTTGGAGATTTGCTTTTGAGCATTATGACACATTGTTACTTGTTAGTTCAACCATGCGCAATAAAGTCATCACTTTTTTTTTAACTGAGTGATAGGTGTCTAAGGAAGCCTCCTTTCTCTTCTCATTCGTCAGTGGCAATGACTTTAAAGTGCAGGTACAACACATAAAAGGGAAACAGAAGTAATCCTAAAATCATTCCATTCATGTCATTCCGTGAGCTGTCCAAACATACAGGTTTCATTAAGGGAGCCACACTGCCCTGGAGTTGTTGATCTGCTTGGACACATCAGCTTTCCTGCTCCTCTGATGCTGCTTGGCCTGCTATGTTCATCCAGCTCTACACCTTGTTATCTCAGATTCTCCAGCATCGGCAGTTCCTACTATCTCTGAAGCAGTATATCTGCCTAGTTTGAACTCCTTTCCATCACAAACCAGTCTCTTTCTTACCTCTCAGGCTACTGTTAAATTTATGGTTGAATTGCAAAACGTTTCACACCACAGAGTAAAAATGCCCAGTTCCTTCATCCATTTTTTATTTCTCCCCAAGCTGTTTCTACATCCCTATCTCTTTAGGCTTCATAAAGCTTCCAAATCTGTGGCCTAGTTCCACTGTCAATTTCTTCACAATGGGATGAGGTAGTGACAGCAGCAGATAGCAGCATTTACACCTCAAGTCTTGGGACTGTCCACTCTAAAAGTCTTTCACAGCTGATAGATTGGTACTAACGTTTCCAGCAACAAGCATTTGCCCTCAGTGTGGCAGTTTTTGTGAAGGCAGTGTGTCAACTTATGATATCACACGCAAATCAAATCAAAATCACTGCTTTCAACAAATGATGACGGTCCAGACGTTCTGCAGTGAGCTTTAGTTTTTTCAAAAGACTTTTTAGAATCTCCCACATTGTTGTTAATAAACAATGGAAGACTGATATCTAATGCGGTAGAAACATGTCCACTGTGGGATGGTTAGCAGCCCTAAATGTGGAGGGAGTCAACAGTAATGAAAGTTAGTGTGAATCAGTAGGCCATGATATTATTGAATAACAGAGCAAGTTAGAGGGCCTGAGTGGCCTAATCCTTCTCCTGATTCAAATGCTTATACAATAGACATAGACTGACAATAGACAGACATGCAGAGGGATACAAACACAGAGACACCCAGTGTCTGCTGTCCTTGGGAATCGTTCCACTGCTCTCTCCTGATCGGACTACTTGTCTATTGACACAATTATTGGCAATCAGCCAGTTTCAACAGTCTAATGAGAACTCCATCATGTGGAAACTATGCCATCACTCCACACAGGCCATAATTAGCCGACTAAAAGCAGATAATTAGGTCCCTGTGTTACACATTAACCCGATAAATCACAACACCTACAGTTCAAAGATCACTTCTGATTGGAACCTTGGCTCTCGACCAATCTTGTACAGTTTTCTTCTTCTTTAAATTACTTCACTGCAAAATATTGCATATCACTTGCAAATCAAGCTGAAACACACAAAACTGGAAAACAGACTCCCAGTTCAATTATTTCAGTAATCTTAACATAGAAACATCAGCCAGGGTTCCTGCTACTGAGTACTGTCCATTGACTCTGGGTTAGAGAGAGAGAGAGTTATGGGGAATCAGTCAGGGTTTCTGCTCCAGATCGCTGTCCAGTGATCCTGGGTTAGAGACACAGAGACAGAGAGAAAATCAGCCAGAGTTCCTGCTCCTGTTCACTGTCCAGTGATCCTTGGGTTAGAGACAGAATGAAGGGGAATCAGCCAAATTGCATCCGTCAGTGAGTGAACATTTGTGCAGTAACAGGGCACGGGTGGCGATATTGCTCCAATGTGTTTCACTGTTCAATGATATCATGGATAAGCTATGACCTAAATCCATAGGCATATCTTTGTCAACCATAGCAATGTTCCTATCCTTTGATCTACCAGAAATTGCACTTATTTCCATTAAATGCACTGTGGGCCAACATTTATTGCCTATCCCTAGTTGATAAGATGGTGGTGAACTGCCCTCTTGAACCACTGCAGTCCATGTGTTATAGGTTGACCCAAAAATGTCTTTAGGGAGGGAATTTGACCCAGTGGCACTGAAGGAATGGCGATATATTTCCAAGTCAGGACAGTGAGTAGCTTGGAGGGAAACCTGCAGATGGTGGTGTTCCCATGTATCTATATAGAAATTAAGCTGGACAGGGTTCAGAAAGGATTATTCAGGATGTTGTAGGGAATGTAGGACTTAAGTAATAAGGAGAGGCTGGGTAGGCTGGGATTTTTTCACTGCAGCATAGGGGGTTAAGGGGTGACCTTATAGAGGTTTAAAAAATCATGAGGGGAATGGATAGGATGAATGGCAGGTGTCTTTTCCCTAGAGCTGGGGATTTCAAGACCAAGGAAATGAACTTCTAGACAAAGTGGTGAATGCAGGTACAATTACACCGTTTAAAAGATATTTGGATAAGTATATGAACAAGAATGGCTTGGAGGGATATGGGCCAAGTGCAGTTTGGTGGGACTAGTTTAATTTGGGATTATGGTTGGCATAGACTGGTTACACCGAAGGGTCTGTTTCCGTGCTGCATGACTTTATGACTCTATCTGGTGCCCCTGTCCTACCAAATGGAAGTGATTCTGGGTTTGGAAGGTGCATTCAAAGAAGTCTTGGTGAGTCACTGCAGCGCATCTTGTAGATAGTACACATGCTACTACTGAGCATCAGTGAGGGAAGTAAATATTGAAGGTGGTGTATTGGGTGCAAATCAAGTAGGAAGCTTTGTTCTGAATGATGTCTGCATTCCTCAATGTTCTTGGATCAGCACTCAGTGTGGGTAGTATTCCACTGCACTCCAGGCAGTACCTTTTTAGATGGTGGACAGGCTTTGAACAGACAGGAGGTGAGTTACTTGCTGAAGGATTCCTAGCCTCTGACCTGCTGTTTGTAAGCCACTGTATGTATATATCTAGTCCAGTTCAGTTTCTGGTCAATGGTGACAGCTAGGATGTTGACAGTGGGGGATTCAGTGATGATAATGCCATTGAATACCAAGGGGTGATGATTACATTGTCTCTTATTGGAGATGGTCATTGACTGCCATTTGTGTAGCCTGAGCCCGGATATTGTCCATGTATTCCTGCATTTGAACATGGACTGCTTCATTGACAAACATCCTCAATTCTGACCTTATGACGGAGTGAAGGCCATTGGGAAAGCTGAGGACACTACACTGAGGAGCCTGGGATGGGGCTGCAGTTGGCTGGTTTGGATTTGTCTTTTTTATGGTCAAAAATTTCCATATTTATGGGTAGATGCCAGTGTTGTCATTGCACTGGAAGAGCTTGGCCCGGGGTGTGGCAAGTTCAGACCACAAATCTTCAGTATTGTTGCTGGAATGTTGTCAGGGCCCTTGCAGTATCGTGTGTCAAATAACTCCATGAAGGCCGGTATTCCATCACCAAGTCACCTTTTATTTAAATGTGCAGAGTACATGACACTGACCCAGCTCACTCATAGCTAGTTTCTAAAGTGAGCAGAACCCCTGACACTCCTGTTTATATCTGTTAGTCAAGATTCCTTAATTGGACTTGGTTAACGGCCTCTATCAGGGAACTCATATTCTATGAAGTCTGTCTGGTCGACCTCATTCCAATCACAACATACTGCCTCTCTAAGTCCTGAGACATAGACCCATTCTTTTTCCTGTAGCTTCTCCTGGGACGTTTTCACACCAGGTCAGGTTCCTCCATCTCTGCCTCGGATACTGGCAGCGTGTACTGGATCGTGACCTGCCTCTTGTGCCTGGAGCATCTTGGTTGAATTTCATCTTCCTCAGGCTGTAATGGAGTTGAGGTTATGACATCTACTATGCCTATCTCGTCCTCAGAGGCTTCTTTGATATCAGGCAGAGGGGGAGAACCGATGGGTTCTGACAGCCTTGCCAGATGTTCTGAGGGACCGGGTATGTTTTGTTCCTGCCCCGTTTGCAGCTTTCATGTGGTCCACATGCTTGTTCAGGAGCGTCTCTCCTACCTGAATTTTGTACATCACTGGACCTGACCTGGCATCGACCATGCCTCTTAACTCCAATGCCTGCCTTCAAAGTTTGGACTGCTCTTTCTGCCAGACCATTGGACAATGGATGGTATGGAGCTGTCCTTAGATGCCAAACACCATTCGATTTAAAGAAATACATGATTTCCATGCTAGTTTTCTGCGACCAACACTACTGGGGAGTGTGTGTATTGCAAAAGATGCTTGCAACTTTTCAATCATTGTCCGTGTTTGATGAATGAACCCTATGCATGTCCAACCAATGACTAAAAACATGGAACTCACGACAGGCCTGACACAGTTGATGTGTAACTGAGTCCAAGATTTACCCAGCCATTCCCACGAACGTGAGGGAGCTGCTGACGGTAATTTTTGTACTCGTTGGCACTCTGGGTATTGCCCCAATACGGCAATGTCAGCATCCAATCCTGGCCACCAGACATAACTTCTCACCAACATCTTCATTTTAGAGACCTCTGGATGACCCTGGTGGAGCTCAGCCAGTATCTGGCGGTGACTTTTGCTCAGGACAATCACTCTTGCTCCCCATAATAATAGCCATCCTCAATGGTGATCTGGTCTCACCGGGTCCAGAGAGGTTTCAATTCTGGTTGTGATGGGCCTTTGATTTCTCCCATCACCACCAGCTGATTTTAGTTTTGCCAGGACAGGATCTTCTCGTGTCCACAGTCGGATATTGTTAGTGGTGATTGGAACGGTGTCCAGAAAAAGACTGTAGAACTCTGAGGTACAGAGGGATCTGAGAGTCCTAGCACATGAATCACAAAAGGTTAGTATGCAGGGACAGCAAATGATTAGAAAGGCAAAAGGAGTGTCGATGTTTATTACAAAGGGAGCGATACATAAAAGTAGGGATGTTTCCTACAGCTTTACAGGACATTGGTGAGACCACATCTGGAGTACCAGCACATTGCTTTCAAATGTGCCTCCTCACAGTACCCAAAAGAGAGATTAGTACAGTGGTAACATTGCTACACTAACAATCCACAAGCCAAGGTTAATTGTCTGGTGATATATGTTCAAATTCCACCTTATAAATTGGTCGAATTTAAATTCAAGTTAAATCAATTGAATAAACTTTGGAATTGAAAGCTGGTCATAGAAATAGTAACCCTGAAATTATAATTGATTGTTGTAAAAATCCACCTGGTTCACCAATGTCCATTAGGGAATGGAATCTACTTTCTTATCCAGTCCAACATCAAGGCCTACTCAACTGCCCCCTGAAATGGCCAAGCAACCAACTCAGCTCTAGGGTAACTAATGCTGGTCTTGCCTGTGATGCTGACACCCCATGAAATCATAAAGGAAAAAATTGTGTTGTCCAAAAATCACAAACTTTTCTGATTGATCTTCTCTCATATTAAACAGGTTGCACTCATGTAGGGAAGTGGAGGAAGCGTGGGAGATTTAACAAATGCAATGTATGAGAAGTTAATTGTTATCAGCAGCAACATGATAACTAAGCTCAGGTGCATTGAGATTATATTATTTGGTTTGTCCAATGCCTCATTCTCTGGATTAAGGTGGTTCCAATGTTTTTTTCCTAAATTCCAACATGAACGCAGTCCCAAGGCTGCTGAATTCATATCAGTCCTATGAAAAATTTCAGTTGCTTTATTTGAAAAAGTATATAATTGTGAGATGCAGTTTTAGAGGAGATTCATTTGACTCATTCCTGGGATGATGAGGTAATCTTATGGGAAAAGATTGGATAGGTTGGGCCTGTGTCCATTTCAGTTTTGGTTTCTGTGTATGAAGGGGGTTAATGATTAACTTGTAAGTATTTCCATAGCCATGCTGGTTCTTTTTAAAAACATTAAGATAGTTCTTGGAGACGAATAGGAACTTGTTTTCTTTGGAACAGATTTTTATGAGTGAACAACATAAACAGTTTTACATTACGCTTTCAGGTTAGAAAGTCAGGGATTGATTTTTTTTTCTTTTGATCGGGGAAGAATCCAGAGCTTGGGAAAAAGATTTTAGGTTTCAGGTTGGTAGTGTGCAAAAGTCTTGTATGTAGCTGGATGTGTATAACAATTGTATTTGATGAAATGAGATTAGAAACAGCTTTAAAACGGCTAAGAAAAATTCCCTCACTGGTAAACAGTTTAACTTTTCAAGTTCTAGACCAGAAATATGGGGTGACAACTCCAAAGAGGCTATTTGAAGCTGAGAAAGTCTAAGCTCAGTTGTACGAATGCTTCAGGGAGAAGCAATCAGACTCTTAAGAGGGTCATTGAAGTCATAGTTCAACTAAACACGAGAGATGTGAAAGCGAAATGAATTCTCACTGGTGTGAGTACTGTAAAGGAGTTCCTTTGGGATTAACAAAGAGAACAAAAGAGAAGTACAGCACAGGAACAGGCCCTTCAGTCCTCCAAGCCCGTGCCAATCATCATGCCCTGACTAAAACTAAAAATCAAACCTTCTGCCCTTATTTGGTCTGTATCCCTCTATTCCCTCCCTATTTATGTAACCATCCAGATGCCTCTTAAGTGTTGCCAACATCCCTGCTTCCACCACCTCCTCTAGCAGTGCATTCCAGGCTCCTGCTACTCTCTGAGTGAAAAACTTACCTCGCACATCTCCCTTAAACTTTCCCCCTCACCTTGAATCTGTGACCCCTTGTAATTGAATTTCAATCCTGGGAAAAAGCCTCCGACCATCCACCCTATCTATGCCTCTCATAATTTTGTAGACATCTATCAGGTCTCCTTTCAGCTGCTGTCTTTCCAGTGAAAAATTAATAGAAGTATATTTTACAATATGTTTCAAAAACTTTAAATGTGTATTTCATGTATATATAAAAACATCATTTGGTTTATTCTATTTTTATCTTAATTTCATTTGTATAATAAATTTGTTTCATTGTTAAAACTAAATCTGCAGCATTGTACGCATGTGTTTCCATGACAGGCCAACTTGCTGACAATAAATAAAAAACAAAATACGATCAGTGAAGTCAATTTCAGTCTTGGATCTGAATCGTCCAGTAATAACATCAGCTGGGATCATTACATGATGGAGATGAGAAATATTTTCTCTCAGAGGATATTAATCTGTGAAATGATCTTCACAAGGCAGCTTTGCAGGCTGGGTCATTGAATTTATTCAAACTGCAATGACAGATTTTTGATTGACAGGGGAAGAGTCGATGATTATTGGGGTCGATGGAAAAGTGGAGTTGAGACCACACCCATCATTCATGATCTTACTAGACAGTGCAACAGGCTTGATGGGCCAACAGGAATCATATGTTTCTATGACCTCATAGGAGACTGGGATAGATCACCCTCTTGACACTTCTGGCTGAAGATTGTTGAAAATGCTTCAGCCTTATCTTTTGCACAGATATGCTGAGCTCCCCATCATTGGTAATAAGAGATGTTTGTGCGGCTTCGTCCTCCGGTGAGTTGTTTAATTGTTCACCATCATTTACAACTGGATGCAGCAGGACTGCAGAACTTAGATCTGATCCATGGACTGTGGGATCACTTAGCTCCGTGTATTACTTGATGCTTATTCTGTTTTGCATGCAAGTAGTCCTGTTTGGTAGCTTCACCAAGTTGGCACCTCATTTTTAAGTATGTCTGATTCTCCTCCTGGTGTGCTTTCCTGTAGTGTTCAACAAACCAGGTTCTATCCACTGCCTGATGGTAATGGTAGAGAAAGAGATAATGATGGCAGTGTCTGGGACATTGTCTGCAAGGTGTGATTCAGTGAGTATGATTATGTCAAGCTGTTGCCTGACAGTGAGACAGCTCTCCCAAGGGATATCAAGTGCCTTCTCGAAGTTTAACTACATAACATGCATTTTGTCATTTTTTTCAAAATATTCAATCAGGTTAATCACACATGTTCCACCCTTTACAAATCCACCTAGGAACATAGGAACAGGACTAGGCCATTCTGTTACTTGAGCCTGTTCCACCATTCAATGATCCGAAAATTCTAAATTGTTGTCATCCTATCCAGACAGACGGGCGCAAATAATTCCCCAAGGTACAGGCTCTGGGTTTGCATGTATGTTATATGTGTGTGTGCTTACATGTGTGTGCCTCTATGTGCCTGTATGTGTGTATGCATGTCCGTATGTTTGTGACTGTGTGCCTCTATGCTTGTATGTCAGTGTCTGTGCATGAGATGGGAATTGAAGGAGCACTCACCATGTCTACAATATCTACGGCAGTGAGGATTAGAATAGCAGCCATTGCCCAGATGTTCCTGGCCCATCGCGTCCGGTCAATCCACGTTGAGAAGAAAACCAGTTTCTTGGGGAAGACCTGAAGAGGAATTAAATTGTCAGTATTAACCTTCAGAGAAGAAGGTCCCTGGGCACAATTAACAACTGAAACAGCTGGAGTTTCTATATCGACTAACAGCCACCCAGGCCGGGGTAGAATTGAGGACTCTGATCAAGGACTCACCCTGGAGAAGATGGCAGCCAGGGAACATAAGGTGAGGATCAAGAGTAGAATCTCCCCCACAATGAACGTGATGTAATTCACTAGCAATCTACAGAAAACAGAAAGAGACTGATCACAGGAAAATAGAATTTAAAACAGATCTACCTTGATCTCATCCCAACCCCTGACTCCACACTCCAATCCACCTCAGTTAGACCCTGGCTTTTCATAAAATACTACTGCTCCCGGTGGTCTTGAGGTGCCTGAATTTGATTATTACAGCTTCTCACAGGGAGAAACTACACAATGTAGCCAGTCCATGCCCACCCTCCTTACAAAGGATCAACATAGTGAAGCTTCTCTAGACTGCCTCCAATGCCAGTCTGTCTTTTCTTAAAGAAAAGAAAACAAAAAAAAAATCTAGATATGGATAAGTTAGAAAAAAATCTTAAAATGCCGAAAAATAATTTCAATTTATTCCCCAACACCATTACTTTACAGCAATTGAAACTCAGAGAAATTACCCTTCCATATCAAATCTTTAAATTCAACATAGCCGACACTCCCCAGTTATTTCCTATGAACTGTGAAATCTTCTCATACAAATACTCAGAAAACTGAGAGCTTACACTTTCTCAGTTTTTAATAACCTGCAGATTTGCACACACTAAATTTATCTACTACGGCAAATAGGTAAACTCACAATAGTCCCAGAGGACTGCTCTCTCATTGGACAGAAACGACTGGTGGTGGTTTGACCTGATGGTCACCAAGCCTCAGGGGAGGGGAGAGGTTGAGAAGGTGGGGCCTTCATGATAACCTCAGGCAGTAAAGTAACAGTGCTTTCTCTAAACCATGCTATATTCCTTCTTTAGAATGGAAACTGTATTTGTTTCTGACACTAGTGACGTCTCTTCTGAAATGCCCAAAAACTTCTAATCCCTTGGTTTTATAAACTAAAATCAATCCCCGACTGTCTTGGACTGAAAACAAGCTAATGATCCTGAATGTCTACCCCACTTGTCATAAACTGATAAAGTAAAAACAATTTTCCATTAACTCCCCGTAGACTCCCTGCTATCTGACACATATTAGGTCATTGTTCCAGAAGAACTGTCTGGTCCTTTTATCAAATGCTCAGAAAAGTAACCAATCTGAAACAATCCTGTATGCCAGTATTCTAAAATCCAAATATATATTAATCAGACACCTTTCATCAGAGTTTCTAGTCCTAGAAATGAAACACACAACCTCACAACTCCCTGTGTGAAGAACTTTCTCTTGTTTTGTTCTAAATCTTACATTTAATCTTGTATCAATGGTCCCTTGATCTGGACTTCCAACTATAAGAGAGTGTCTGCTTCCAACTACCTTGCACCATAGTTGAAAAGATTTAACCTGCCTTGTTCATATTGTCCTGTATCTGTCCATTGATCAGTTGCAGCCCAGTCTGTGGGTATCCATCAGATGAATGCCCTGACACTAATATCCACCTACCCGGGGTCAATGAGAAGCTGCACCAAGAAGGTGAAGGTGAGGACGACACAGGAACAGCTGAAAGCTGCTCCACTCTGTTTCTCCCTCTCCAGTGAGAAGCGGCTCTCCAGCTCAGGGTCAATGAATCGCATCGAGAGACGGTTTGTGGATTTCCCTTTCAACCTGTTGATAGGGAACAGCACAAGGGTGAGTGACTAGAGTTAGGAGATTCTAAACCACTGTACCCCTCGACTCTCACTCACTCACTTCTCTGGAACCTACAGTTACTCAGAGCCTGATTCCATTTTCCACTTCCATTCCCACCATTCCTCTGATTCTCGCTCCTTCTCTTGGCTCCCAATCCCTGGCCCCTCCAAGTTGGTTGTTGGTGGGAAGGTCTGTAAGATAGGTTACATGCCCAGTTCACCAACCCCTGAGCTCACCCAGAGAGTGGGTGGGTGCTGATTTCAGCAGCCTGACCACCAGATGCAAATCACTAATTAAAGATTAATTGAGACTGAAGCTGACCCTAGTACTAGGTGGCCCACACCATAACATGACATCTGTTTTTAAAATGGCAGATAGAAAGGGGGTACTTTCATTGGAGGCTTCCCCTTGTCTATCAAGAGCACCTGCCAAAAAGGAAGCATTCCATATCCTTTCCACTCTTCCACAGTGCAAAATGCTCCACGTTCCTCAGACTCTCCCTAATGTGTGTCAAAACTGCCTCCCCAACAGCCCAAAGCTCCCTGATTACTTCATTCCAGGATTGGGACCTTTTACTTGGGCACTATCTTCAGCTCCAGCAGTGCCCACTACCAAGTTCCGATGCTCCCAGGACCTGCTAGAGCTGCTCACCAATCAAATGGACCGGAAGTGTCTGGGGCTGGGACATCCACCCAGTGAGGGACAAAGGAGTTTGTTTAGCCAATCACAGTGCTACAAATAGGCCAATCAGACAGCCGTCAAAACCGCCCATGCTCCCTCAGAGATAGCACAAACTGCTGATGCTGGAGTCAGAGATAATTAGGTGTAGAGCTGGATGAACACAGCAGGCCAGACAGCACCAGAGGAGCAGGAAAGCTGACATTTCAAGTCGGGACCCTTCTTCAGAAATGGGGGAGGGGGAAGGGAGCTCTGAAATAAAAAGGGACAGGAGGGGTGGGGCTGGGGAAGGTAGGTGGGATGGTGATAGGTGAGTGCAGGTAGGCAGTGGTGGGGATTGGTCAGTGAGGTGGGAGGAGTGGATAGGTGGGAGAGAAGACGGACAGGTTGTGTCAGGTCAAGGAGGCGGGGATGAGAGGGAAGGCTGGTCATGGGATGAGTCCGGGGATGGGGAGATTTTGAAACTGGTAAAGTCCACGTTGAGGCCATTGGTTTGTAGGCTCCCAAGGTGGAATATGAGGTGCCGCTCCTCCAGTTTCTGGGTGGCATCGTTGTGACACTGGAGGAGGCCCAGGATGGACATGTCATCCAGGGAGTGGGAGGGGGAGTTGAAGTGATTTGCGACTGTAAGGTGTTGCCGTTTGTCGCGAACAGTGCGCAGGTGCTCTACAAAGCTGTCTCTGAGCCTCCGCTTGGTCTCACCGATGTAGAGCAGGCCACATTGGGAGCAGCGGTGGACCTCCCGCCTCACATCCATCCAAGGACTCTTCACCACTCCCTCATCTGCTCTGCACTCCCCACTAGCCCCACCACCCCTGGCACCTTTCCTTGCAACCGCAGGAAGTGCTACACTTGCCCCTACACCTCCCCCCTCACCTCCATCCCAGGCCCCAAAAAAACCTTCCACATTCAACAGATGTTCACCTGCGCATCCACTAAGGTGGTCTACTGCATCCGCTGCTCCCGATGTGGCCTCCTCTACGTTGGTGAGACCAAGCAGAGGCTCAGAGATCGCTTTGTCGGGCACCTGCACTCTGTTCGTGACAAATGATAACACTTTCCAGTCACAAACTACTTCAGCTCCCCCTCCCACTCCCTGGACGACATGTCCATCCTGGGCCTCCTCCAGTGTCACAATGACACCACCCAGAAACTGGGGGAGCAGCACCTCATATTCCGCGTTGGGAGCCTACAACCCAATGGTCTCAAAGTGGACTTTACTAGCTTCAAAATCTCCCCAACCCCGGACTCATCCCATGACCAATCCTTCCTCTCATCCTCGCCTCTTTGACCTGACACAACCTGTACGTCTTCTCTCCCACCTATCCGCTCCTCCCACCTCACTGACCAATCCCCACTACTGCATACCTGCACTCACCTATCACCATCCCACCTACCTTCCCCAGCCCCACCCTTCCTGTCTCTATTTATTTCAAAGCTTCCTTCCCCCTCTCCCATTTTTGAAGAAGGGTTCTGACCTGAAACGTCAGCTTTCCTGCTCCTCTGATGCTGCCTGGCCTGCAGGGTTCCCCTAGCTCCACACTGTGTAATCGTCCATGCTCCCAGCCCAGTTTCCTACACTCACTTGTCTGCACCTACTCCCTGTCCCCCTACTCACTTTTCCCATCTCCTCCGTTTGTTGCTACTTTCTGCTCCCATGCCCTCCAGCTGAGTTGATTCTCAATGGCTGTTTATACACAGATGGAGACAAGGCCAGAGCTATCTGTTCGCCCTTTCTCCTGCTTTCTCTATTCTCCCCTGGCCATGTGGGAATGTTACTCACGCCTGCACATTCTCTCGCTCTAACAAAGCTGCATTCAATAAACGATTCAGCTCCAGCTGGTTCTGTTGAGCATCAATCACCTGCTCCGATATATCACGCAATCGCAGGCGCCTCCGAGGGTTTGGAAATGAAGGGTTAACCACCTAAACAAAGAGCAGAATGGAGAGGGTGAGTCAGTGGGGGACAAGGCTGCTAGCAGTTTGTGTTTTCACAAGTTACTCAACAATACCTCACACACAAACACTTCTGTTTGTGGACTGTAGTTTTTGGTGATGATTCTGATATTCCCGATTATCATTTCGCTGGACCGACTGATTCGTTCTCAACTTTCCCATTCCCACAAAGCAAACTACTGCTGATGCTGGAGATCTAACATAAAAGCAGAAAATGCTGAAGAAACTCAGCAGGTCTGGCAACATCTATGGAGAAACAGTTAATGTCTCAAACTGATGAAAAGCCAGCTGGAGCCCAGGTCATCATGAAGGGTCATAGAAACATAGAAATACTGAAAATAGGAGCAGGAAAAGGCCATTCAGTCCTTGGAGTCTGCTCTGCTGTTCAATATGATTGTGGCTGATTATCTAACTCAGTCCCTTGTTCCCACTTTCTCCCATACTCTTTAATCCCTTTAGTCCTAAGAACTGTATCTAACCCTTTCTTGAAAACATTCAATATTTTGACCTCAACCACTTTCTGTGCTAGTGAATTCCACAGATTCATTGGTCTCTGGGAGAAGAAATTTCTCCTCGTCTCAGTCCTAAATGGTGTACCACGTATCCTTAGACTATGACCTCCTGGAGTGGACACCCTGGTCATTAAGAACATCCTTCCTGTGTTTCCTCTGTCTAGTCCTGTTAGAATTTAAAGGTTTCTATGAGGTCCACGACTCATTCTTCTAAACTCCAGTGAATAAAGTCCTAACTGATCCAGTCTTTCTTCATGCGTCAGTCTTGTCATCCCAGGAATCAGTCTAGAAAACTTCCCTTGTCTTTCCTCAGATAAGGAGACCAAAACAGCACACAATACTTCAGGTGTGGTCTCCACGTGGCCCTGTACAACTGCAGCAAGACATCCCTGCTCTTGTTCCTCCTGTTTTCACAATCTTTTGTCTTTCAGGTAATAAAATGCCTGCTTGTTTTTGCTACCAGAGTGAATAACCTCACATTTATCAATATTATACTGCAACTGCTATGCATTTGCTCACTCACTCACTCAACTTGTCCAAATTACCCCTCATGGCTCACGCTCCCACCCAGCTTTGTGTCTTATGCAAACTTGGAGATATTACATTAAGTTCCCTCATTTAGACCATTAAATGAATAGTTTGGGTCCAAATACTGATCTCTGTGGTACTCTACCAATCACTACCTGTCATTCAGAAAAAGACCCATTATTCCTTCCCTCTGTTTCCTGTCTGCCAACAAGTTTCCTATCCATGTTAGTACACTACCCAAACCTAAGCACTTGAATTTTACATGCTAATCTCTTATGTGGGATCTTACTAAAAACACAGAATCTCTACATTGTGGAAACAGACCATTCAGCCCAACTAGTCTACACTGACTCTCTGAGGAGCACATCACCCAGACCCATCCCCCCACCCTTTCCATGTAACCCTGCATTTTCCAGAGATAATCCACCTAATTTACACATCCCTGGACAATACAGGGAAATTTAGCACGGCCAATCCACCTAACTTGCACATCTTTGGACTGTGGGAGGAAACCAGAGCACCCGGTGGAAACCCACGCAGACACGGGGAGGTGTAATCTCTACACAGACAGTGGCCCGAGGGTGGAATCGAACCCAGGTCCTGGCACTGTGAAGCAGCAGTGCTAACAGGGGAGGCGATGGCCTAGTGGTATTATCACTGGACTGTTAATCCAGAGGCTCAGATAATATTCTGGGGACCCGATTCGAACTCTGCCACGGCAGATGGTGGAATTTGAATTCAATAAATATCTAGAATTAAGGGTCTAATGATGACCATGAATCCATTGTCGATTGTTGGAAAAACCCATCTGGTTCATTAATGTCCTTCAGAGAAGGAAACTGCCATCCTTACCTGGTCTGGCCGACATGTGGCTCCAGACTCACAGCAATGTGGTTGATCCTTAACTGCCCTCTGGGCAATTAGGGATGGGCAAAAAATGCTGCCTAGCCAGCAATGCCCTCATCCCATGAAGGAATTTAAAAAAACCAATGAGCCACCATGCCCCCCTGCAGTAAACCACATCTATTGATTCCTGCTCATTAACTGTATGCATTACAAGCGCAAAAAATCCCCTTTCGTACATCCATGCTGACTTTGACAATCAAATCACTGACTTCCAAGTGCTCTGCTCTTAACTGTTTTGTAATGAACTCTAGCCTTTTCCCTACTATTGATGTTAGGCTGACCGATCTATAATTTCCTGTTTTTCTCTACCTTGCATTTTAAATACAGGGGTTACATTAGCTACCCTCCAAAACAAAGGGTCATCAATGTTAAATGCTAACTCAGATTCTCTCTTCACTGATGCTGGTGGGAATTTCCAGCCTTTTCTGGTTTGATTTCAGATTGAGATTCCTGCCAGGTTTAATTGTTTAGACTGACAGTCCATACTTACCAGCTGCAACAGTCAGTAAAGGAGCCTGGCACCCTCACTCAATAATTCCACATATTTATCTGGCACTTTAGCATTGTAGCAAGTCCCAAGGCATTACCCTTTCAGTATGGCACCTGAACGTTGTCCCAGTACAGCTGCTACACTGGCATCTACCCAATCAATGAGGAAAAAGGCTGAGATTTGTCCTATCTACAAAAAGCAGGACAAATCCAACCCGGCCAATTACTGCCCCATCCCTCTACTCTCCATCATCAGGAAAGTGATGGAAGATGTCAGTAACAGCGCTATCAAGCAGCACCTGCTCAACAATAACCTGCTCAGTGACACTCAGTTTGGGTTCTGCCAGGGCCACTCAGCTCCTGATCTCATTACAGCCTTGGTTCAAACATGGACAAAAGAGCTAAATTCCAGAGGTGAGGCGAGAGTGACAGCCCTTGACATTACGGTTACATTTGACTGAGTGTGACATCAAGGATCCCTAGCAAAACTGGAATCAATGGGTATCGGGGGCAAACTCTGCAGTGGTTGGAGTCATACCTGATACATAGGAAGATGGTTGTGGTTGTTGGAGGTCAGTCATCTCAGCTCCAGGACATCTCTGTAGGTGTTCCTCAGGATAGTGTCCTAGGCCCCAACCACCTTCAGCTGCTTCATCAATGACCTTCCCTCCATCGTAAAGATTGAAGTCGGGATGTTCGCTGATGATTGCACAATGTTCAGCACCATTCTTGACTACTCTGATACTGAAGCAATCTCTCTTCAAATGCAGCAAAACCCAGATGATATCCAGGCTTGGACTGAAAAGTGGCAAGTAACATTCGTGCCACACAAATGCCAGGCTATGACCATCTCCAATAAGTGATGATCTAGCCACCGCTCCTTGAAATTCAATGGCATTACTATCACTGAATACCCTGAGGTAACCCTCACATCCTAAGGGTTACCACTGGCCAGAAACCCAACTGGACTTGCTATTTAAATGCAGTGGCAACAAAAATAGGTCAGAGGAATACTATAACTCTCCTACTGACTCCCCAAAGCCTGTGCACCATCTACAAGGCACAAGTCTGGAGTATGATGGAATACTTCCCACTTGTCTAGATGGGTCCAGCTCCAACAAGAATCAAGAAGCAACACCATCCAGAACAAAGCAGCCCACTTAATTGGCGTGATATCCACCACCTTCAACAAGGGACTCTAAGAGGAACAGTACACTGTTGTGCTCCGACTGGGACTTGGATGTCAATGGTATGTGTTAGCCTGGGGATACAGCTGTCTGCAGTCAAGGTTTGCAGACTGACCAGCTACACACAGAGTTAGCAGGTATCACAGACACTTTTCAGTGTCACCTTTCTGCAGCAAGGACGTGATGTGGAATGGACATTGCAAGTTCTAGATGTCCCATTTGCTCCCATTGTGCTCTGAGGCAATTGTGCCACTCACTCACCCGTGTATCGAGTTCCTCTGGGTCATCAGGGGTGGTGCAGTTGGTATGGAGACTGCCATTACAGTCTGTGGTGTTGATCAACAGTGGTGAGTTTCCATTGGATGATGTGAGAGACAACTTCTGAAAAAGAGCAAATTATCTGGTAAACAGACAAGAGAGAGAGATTGCCAGTTAAACCAAAGAGACAAACACAGAAAGAGAGAGAAAGAGAGAGAGATAGAGGCATAGGAACAATCAGCCCCTTGAGTCTGTTTTGTCATTCAATGAGATCATGGCTGATCTATGACCTAACTCCATAGACCTGCTTTTGACCCATATCCCCTCGTATCTTTGCTTAACAAAAATGAACAACTGATCTAGCATCAAATTCTGTTTGCAGAAGAGAATTCCAAACTTTTACAAATCTTTGTGCATACAATTACTTCCAAACAGACAGACAGACACAGATAAACAGAAAAGAGAGAGACAAAGAAATAGATAGACAGAGAGAAAGTGAGATAAAGAGACACACTGAGAGGGAGATAGATGGACAGACAAAAATGAAGACAGAGAGAGAGAAAGAAAAACAAAGAAACAGAGAGAGACAAAGATGGACAGAGGAAGAAGTTTACAGAGAGAGAAATAGAGAGAGAGAGAACAGATCACTTGTTCAACGAGGGTAAAAGAGAAGTCAGAATAAAGTCGAGGAGATAGAGGGGATCACGAATCAAACTAGGGAGAGATGACTTGAAAATATGAGGTTAGTCATCTTGGTATGAGGAATAGAGAAGCAATATATTATTTAAATGGGGAGAGACTGCAGAATGCTGCAGTTCAAAAGGATCTGGGTCTCCTTGTACAGTATAACGACAACATCTTTTTATTTTTCAGTATTTTTGATTGTGGACTTCGAGAGGAAAAGGACTGTTTTTCTGAAACAATATTCAGGATGGAACTAGTCATTGCATCGAGAAAGGTGGACTGATTATGAAGAGTCAGTGTGGATTTTTGAAGGGGACATCGCATTTACCTAACTTGCAGGAAGTTTTTGAAGAGGTAACAGAAATGTTCGATTAGGGTGACACTGCTGATGTGGTCTATTTGGATTTCCAGAAGATGTTTGATACAGCGCCACAAAACAGACTGGTGAGAAAATTTATAGGTAGTGGAATAATAGGGACAGTAGCAACATGGACACAAAACTGGATGAGTGATGGGAAGTAGGGAGTCTAGTCTGGAGGAATGTTTCTAGTGGAGACTCTAGGGGTTGATGTTCAGAGCTTTGTTCTTCCTGATACATATTAATGATCTGGGTCTTTGTGTACAGGGGACAACTTCAATGTTTGAAGACTAACATTAGAATAGAAAGAATTGCAAACTGTGAGGAGGACAGTGCAGAACTCCAAAAGGACATTTACAAATTGGTGGAGTGGGCGAAACGGTGGCAGATGAGGTTCATTGCAGAGAAATGTGAGGTGACATATTTTGGACAGAAGAACATTGAAAGACAATATACAATTCTAAAGGGGCTGCAGGAGCAGAGGGACCTGGATGTGTATGTGCACAGATCATTGAAGGTGGCAGGACAGGTAGAGAGAACAGTTAATAAAGCATGTAGGGAACTTAGCTTTACTAATAGCGTCATAGAATACAAACTGGACGATTTACACCTGGGCAGTACCGGAACTGAGCTCTTCTGGACAGTATTTGCAAGAGTGGTTGGGCAGGCATTAATCTAAAATGGCAGGGTGATGGGAACTTATGCAATGTATCAGAGGAAGGAGAGACAAGGCCACAAATAAAAGACAGAAAGGGGACTTAGAAAAGTGATAGGCAGAGGACTGAAGGGCCAGAATCAAACAGGGACACTGAAAGACAATGCATGTAGGACAAATAATGCGAAAACGACAAGCCTTAATACTTTTGTGCTTTAACAATGGAGTATTCACAATAAAGTGGATGAATTAATCAAGTAAATTGATGAAAACATGTACGACATAGTCAGACTTAGAGACATGACTGCAGGGTGACTGGGTATGGGAACTGAATATCCAGGCCATCCTAGACTGTGTAATAAGAAAGGGATAAATCGCAATCTAGTTGTGTGAGGCCTCTTGGGGATAAGAATATGATAGAATTCCTCATCAAGGTGGATAGTGAGGTAGCTGATTCTGAGACTAGGGTCCTGAATTTAAATAGAGGAAATTATAGTGGTACAAGGTGTGAGTAGACTATGCTGGAATGGGGAACAATACTGAAAGGGATGACAGTGGAAAGGCAACAGCAAGCAATTCTTTTTTGCTCATTCACAGGATGCAGGCATTTATTGCCCATCTTTAATTGTCCAGAGGACAGGTGAGGGTCTGCCACATGCTGTGGATCCAGAGTCACATGTAGGTCAGACCAGGTAAGGATAGCAAATTTCCTTCTGTAAAGGACATGAGTGAACAGATGGGTTTTTTCCTGACAATCGGCAATTGGCTATGAACATAGAACACAGAATCCCTACAGTGTGGAAACAGGCCCTTCGGCCCAACAAGTCCACACTAACCCTTGCAGCATCTCACCCAGACCCATCCCCTTATAACCCACCTAAGCTACACATCCCTGAACACTATAGGCAATTTAGCATGGCCAATCCACCTAACCTGCACATCTTTGGACTGTGGGAGGAAACCGGAGCACCCGGAGGAAACCCACGCAGACACGAAGAGAATGTGCAAACTCCACACTGACAGTCGCCCGAGGGTGGAACTGACCTGGGTCCCTGGCGCTGTGAGACAGCAGTGCTAACCACTGAGCCACCATGCTGCCACATGAGGAAAGGTTAAAAAGACTAGGTTAAAATTGTTACACAGATAGTAGGAACTGCTGATGCTGGAGAATCTGAGATAACAAGGTGTAGAGCTGGATGAGCACAGCAGACCAAGCAGCATCAGAGGAGCAGGAAAGCTGACGAGGGTCCAGACCCAAAACATCAGCTTTCCTGCTCCTCTGATGCTGCTTGGCCTGCTGTGTTCATCCAGCTCTACACCTTGTTATCTTAAAAAGACTAGGATTGTTTTCACTGGAAAAACAGTGGCTGAGAGGAGACCTGATAGAGATCTACAAAATTATGAGAGGCACAGATAGAGTGGATAGCCAGAGGCTTTTTCCCAGGGTTGAAGTTTCAATTACAAGGGGGCACAGTGCAAGGAAGGTTTCTCACGCAGAGAGTGGTAGGAACCTGGAGTGCACGCCCAGAGGAGGTGGTGGAAGCAGGCACATTGAAAACATTTAAGAGGCATCTGGATGGTTACATGAATAGGGAGGGAATAGACGGATACAGATTGAACAAGGGCAGAAGGTTTGTTTTTTAGTTTAGTCAGGACATGATGATCAGCACAGGCTTAGATAGCTGAAAGGCCTGTTCCTGTGCTGTACTTCTCTTTTGTTCTTTGTTTCATGATCAACATTAGATTTTGTAATTCCAGTTTTTTAAATGAATTCAAACTTTACCATCTGCCATGGCAGGATTTGAACCCAGGCCCCCAGAACATTACCTGGATCTCTAGATTAATGGTCTAATGATAATACTACAAGGCCATCACCTCCCACTAAACCACAGGCATGAACTGCCACAAGTGTTCATTCCTGTCTGCAACAAAAGTAAAACAGGAAAGATGACAAGCCAAAGCTTACAAGGCAAATTACAGATAACATCGAAGGAAGAGTTATTTAAACTGTCCAGAAAAAAAATACAACAGACCTGAGAAGAGGGAGCAGTTTAGAATCCAGCAAAGGAGGCCAAAGGGATTAATTAAGAAGCAAAAAATACAGTACAAGAGTAAGCTTGCCGGGAACATAAAAACTGACTGGAAAAGTATCTTTAGGTATTTGAAAAGACAAATTTAGGTCCTTTACAGTCAAAAATGGGAATTCATAATGAGAACAATGGCTAACTAAATACGTACTTTGGTTCTGTGTTCAGAAAGGATGACAAAATAACATCCCTGAAATGTTGGAGAACACAGGGTTTAGTGATCACAAATACCTGAAGGAGATCAGTATTAGTAGGGAAATAATGCTGAGGAAATTAATGGGATTAAAGGCCGATAAACCCCTTTCAGCCTGATAATCTACATCCCACAGTAGCTCTCGAAATAATGGTCGCATGGGCTGTTATCTTACAAGATTCTATAGACTCTGGAACAATTCCTACAGATTGTGTGTTGGCTAATGTAATCCTCTATTTAAAAAGGGAGGCAGTGAGAAAACCGTGAACTATAGGCCAGTCAGCCTGATGTCAGTAGTAGGGAAAATGCTAGAATCCATTATAAAAGAATTAATAGCTGAGCATTTGGAAAACATTGCGGGATTGGACAGAGTTGCATGGATTTACAAAAGGGGCATCTACTGGAATTTTTCAAGAATGTAACTAGTAGAGTTGATCAGAGGACACCAGTGAAAATGGTTTACTTAGACTTTCAAAAGGCATTTGAAAAGTCCCACTAAGAGATTCATATGCAAAAATAAAGTGCATGGGATTGGGGCCAGTGTTTTGAAATGGATAGAAAACTGGTTGGCACACTGGAAATAAAGAGTCGGAATAAACAGGTCTTTTCTCAAATGGCAGACAGTGACTAGTAGGGTACCGCAGGAATTGGTACTAGGAACCTAACTGTTCACAATATACATTCATGATTTAGATGAGGAAAGTAAATGTAATACGTCTAAATCTACAGGTGGCACAAATGGAGGGTGAGGAGGATGCAGAGATGTTGCTGTGTGATTTGGACAGGCTGAGTGAGTGGGCAAATGCATGGCAGATGCAGTATAATGCGGACAAATGTGAAGTTATCCTCTCCGGTAGCAAAAATGGGAAGGCACATTATTATCTGAATGGCTGTAAGGTGAGGGCAGAGAATGGGTGTCCTTGTGCACCAGTCTTTGAAGGTAAGCATGCAGGTGCAGCAGAGAGGAAAGAAGGCAAATGGTATGTTAGCCTTCATAACGAGAGGTTTCGAGTACAGGAGCAGGGACATGTTGTTGCAGTTATACAGAGCCTTGGTGAGACCAAACCTGGAATATTGTGTGCAGTTTTAGTCTTTTTATCTGAGGAAGGATGCTCTTACTATTGAGGCAGTACAGCGAAGGTTTACCAGGCTGATTCCGAGGATGACAGGACAGATGTATGAGGAGAGATTGAATTGGTTAGGATTACATTGGCTGGAGTTCAGGAGAATATGGGGGATCACAGTCTTTGGATACGGGTTAAATTTCCTCACCCAGAGAGCAGTGAACCTTCAAAAAGCACCTGGAAAAAATACATGAATAGGAAGGGAACAGTGGGATACGGATCCTGTAACGTTTCTCTCATTCATTAATGGGACGAGGGCATCGCTGGCTATGTTAGTATTTATTGCCCATCCCTAATTGCCCAGAGGGCAGTTGAGAGTCAACCGCATTGCTGTGGGTCTGGAGTCACATGTAGGCCAGAGCAGGTAAGGATGGCCGTTTCCTTCTCTAAAGGACATTAGTGAACCAGATGGGTTTTTTTTAATGACAGTCGGCAATAGTTTCATGGTCATCATTAGATTCTTAATTCCAGACCTTTTTTCCCAACCGAATGCAGGATTTGGACCCAGGTCCCCAAATCATTACCTGGGTCTCTGGATTAACAGTCCAGCAATAACATCACTAGGTCATCACCTCCTCTTGAAGACAGTTTTAGTATGGAAGGACAAAATGTGTCAGCACAGGCTTGCAGGACTGAATGACCTATTCCTGTGCTGTATAGTTTGTTCTCTGTATAATTCTCTGCCACAGAAAATTATTGAGGCTAAAACATTGTGTAATTTCAAGAAGGAGTTGGATACAGCGGTTAGGACTAGAGGAATCAAACGGTATGGGGTAAATGCAGAATGGCAGAATGGCCTATTCCTGCTTTTATTTTCTAAGTTTCTATGAAACTCTCCAGTCCCCCCAGATTCACCACGCCATTGATCCCATTCTTGACAGCCGCAGACTTTGCCACCACCACCAGGTATGTCGTGATCCCCTTCTCCCGCAAATACTCATTTCTCTTCTCCCCTTCTCCTGGTTCAAGCTCAAACTCTCCATTCAGGCAATTACAGGTGCTTTCTGAAATGTGCACTCTCCTGTAGACAAAGCAGACAAGGAACAAATTCACCTCTAACGATTAGGTTCTAATCGAACGTGAGCACAAACATTCTTACTCCTTGGGTAGGCATCGGATTGGAGAAAGTTTGAATTGAACTGTGATCAGCTGCATCAGGGAGTGTGGCACTCTCAATGGGTCATACTGAGGGAGTGCTGCCCTTTCGGTGGGTCAGTACTGAAGGAGTGCTGCATTGTCAGGGGGTCAGTACTGAGGAAGTGCAGCACTGTTGGAGGATCAGTCCCGAGTTAGTGCTGCATTGCCAGAGGGCCAGTACTGAGGGAGTGCTGCACTGTCGGAGCGTCAGTACTGGGGGAATGTGTATGCGTGGGTGAGTGTATGTGCATGAATGAGCATTTACATGCGTGAGTGGCAACATGTGTGTGCTGTGTTGCAGACTGTGTGACTTATATAAATTTTTAAGTCTATAAGTTTTATTTAGTATATATTTTTAAGTATGTAAGTTTCAGTTGTTGGTTTCTGAGTTAGGCAACACCTTCCAAACCTTCACAAAAAAAACCAAGAACTGTGGATGCTGGAAATCAGAAACAAAAACAGAAATTGCTGGAAATACTCAAAAGCGCTGGCAGCATCTGTGGAGAGAAAGCAGAGTTAATGTTTCGGGTCAAGTGACCCTTCTTCAGAACTTTCTGTATATGTTTCCTTCCAAACTTACAACCACTACCATCCAGAATGGCAAGGGCACAAGATACTTGGAAACACCAACATTTGCAAATTCCCCTCCAAGCCGCTCACCACCCTGACTTGGAAACATATTGTTGTTCTTTCAGTGTTACTGGGTCAAAATCCTGGAATCTCCTCCCTAATGGCATCTCCCACATGCACTACAGCAGTTTAAAAAAGCAGCCACCAAGGGGCAACTGGGGATGGACAATAAATGCTATTGGAACCAGTGACACCCATGTCCCGATACAAAAAGAAAGTTTTTTAACATATGGGCTTTCTCGGTGTCTGAAATTAAATCAACTTATAAATATTTCTGTAGCCAGGGTGATTTCTTTAAAAACAGTTTCTGAAGCGCAGCTTTAGAATCATTGGGCTTTTGTGCACTATTTTCTGTCTACCTCACACTGTTCTGTGCCATAGCAAGGTAAATAATGGGGCCTCAACATCTGTAAGAGATCTCTGGTAACACCCATAACTTATAGAGGGAGATTTTGTAAAAAAATTACTTTGAGTTTTGAGTAGTCCTGTGAAGTCCTTGGATGAAGATGGCTGTAAAGAACAGAGTTCCTGGGAAGAAATGGACATAGTGAAACTAACTTCTCTTGGTGTAAACAGTTGATATCAGATTGAAGAGATGAGACTAAATGTTTTCGGATAAAACCCTGCAGAGATTGCTTAAAACTGAGTATATATAAGATTAGGTGTCTAACAGCGGGCCGGTGAGGCGGCAGTGATGGCCTCCTGGGTGTCCTAGCGATTGAAGTGGCACCTGCACCACCGTGGAGATGGGACTCTGAGAATCTGAGATCTGGACTTTTCTGTTTCTCTTGTTTACGTTTTTGCTCTGTTAACTCTTTTAATTCTGGTTTTTGTAACCAAGTGGGTGCCAGTGAATGAGGTGCAGGGCTGGATGAACACAGCAGGCCAAGCAGCATCATAGGAGCAGAGAGGCTGACGTTTCGGG